TCCTTAGAGGGCACGGACGTACCCAGCAATATTGCAGAGTTTGAGGGGAACAAATGCTGCCATGAAGAGTGCGGAGCTGCTACGGAGTACGCGAAGACGAGTCAGACAAACCATGAGGATGCAGTGATGTTGCACGGAGGAATGGGTAACAAGGATAAAGCATGGAACAGTGAAGCAAGTGGATACACCCAAGGCCTAAGTATAAAGTTTCGTCCTGAATGTGCCTGCCAGAAGCGAATAAGCACTTGCGTAGGCACGTTAGCTGCAGTGTTTCGCGTCGCGCTCTTTGTTGGTGTTTGTTGTGAGTGAGGACTAGAGTCACTGAGTGGTTGGCGGCGGATTCGCGTTGACAATTTATTGAGAAGTAGAACTGGCACAAGTGGAAGGAGCACGCAGAGCAAGACGAACCGGAAAACAGACGAGGAAACTACTTTCAGTGGGACGAACAGCAGAAAGTGTAAACAAGCCGAGGGGCGCTTCTTGTGTAGCGTCCAAACTGCAGGTTTTGGTAGTGGAGCGTCAGACGTAGGTGGACAAAGACATTGGTGGTAGTCAGGGAGTCGTGGTAGGTTGTAGTGTGCAGGTCCTGCGCAGAAATTGGATCAGGGTAAGGATCGCGGCCTGAGGATGTCGCAGGACAGGGCGAGGGTGTGTGTAGCATAAGAGGAGTGTGCGTAGTGTGAGAGGCGTAAAGGGGCGTAGAATTAGGCGAGCAAGAAGTGTTTGTGGTTAATTGGGTAGGCAGGGACGTAGCAAGGGCGTCATTGGATTCTCAAGACTAATGAAGGAGTTGGTTGGTGTGGGTGTGGAGTGGTGGTTAGTGTTCTGAATTTGTTGAAGAACAGGTTTTGGCCCCCAGGCTGCGATGAGGGAGATTTGAATGTGCGCAGTAGAATGGACGCGCGGAGGTCGCTCGCAGTAGAATTCAGAAACGTGACCTCCTGCTGCACGGCATGGCGAATGGGTAATTCACGGAACTGCAGAGCTGTGTCTGGAGTTCAATGTTAGCCTTAGTCGGGAGAGGGTGATAGGCAGACAGAGATGTAGCCAGTGGAAGCAGCCAGGTTGGAAAGGCATCGCGACGCCGCATTGGCGATCAGGGAAGCGTGGTTGGCACTGCGTAGTTGTAGGTAGAGGGTATTTGACTAGTCCGGCAAAGCTGTATTTTTAGCAGTTGCGGAGCAGGTACGCAATGAGGAATTCTTTTGTTTTTGGTGCTCTACTGCACGGTGGAACAGCAAAGATATCAATGCATTGCGAAGATTACTGATTAACGGGAAATTTTTTCGATAAGCGTTTTGCTACTTGTGTAATCGGTGTGGCCGCCGGGGCGCTCCTCATCACATCGTCATTGTTCGCGCAAGATGGATATTGGAGTGGACGGAGACGGACAGCTCTGTAAGGGCCGATAGCAGCCGTCATATATCACTGTTTGCTATGAATTTTGGCGGAAATTGAGTTGTAATTACATATACATTTTCTTTAAAGACTTGACTATCTGTGTGTGTTTAGGTTCGCAGGTTAGTGTATGTGTTTATGTGGACATTGGAAAAAGCATTCCATCATAGATGGCTTACTTGGACAAGTTTTATGACGCCTCGACACTACTGTATGAGGTTAGGGAGTTTGATTTCGCTCAGTTGGTGCCGTGAGGCCAGTTAGAGCGCATTCGCTAATGTAACGCTGTTTCGGTAATACGAAAGGTGAGCGTTGTCGATTTTAGTGAAGTTGACATGTTGTGATCGGGCCTGCACCGGCGTCCCAACATGAATGATTCAGTACGTGTAGCTCAAGAGGGACAGCAAGAGCAGCACTACTTTTTGAAACTGGAAGGAAGCATCGGCATGGTTTCGACAGTAAGAATTAGTGTGTAAGTATTTACTTAGTTTTACATTTCAGGGATTGCTATAAGGTAAGCAGACTGAGCCAGTAAGAAAACTGCTTTGTGAAACAAAAACGTGGAAGGAAGTAGAGTCATTGCATTTCTAGAGAGTCAGTTTTGGTGCCGGTAAGCAACTTTTGGGGTCATAGGGAGGGGTAAGGATTCACAGTGTGGCTCCAATGAGCACTCCTGCATAGGCAAGGAGAAAAATGCTCGTTGGAGCCAGCGGAAGCGGCCCTTCGACCTTTTAGGGTTAAAGCTATGCAGTTAGCAGTTCCAATATAGATCTCGAGGCGCAGCATAATGGTGAGAAACGAATAAAGGCCATGCGGCATGATTGTCGGAGTGCTTGATAGGCAAACAGAATTAGCTGTATCAATTACAGCAGTGGTTGCTGCGCATGCTCACTACTACTACTTATCCATGTCGCGGAAGTTGTTCCTGTAAAGGCCTGTACTTTATTAGAAAAATATAAACCAAAGAATTACGTTAGTTCGATACAGAAAGTCACCAACAAGGCAGCAACAAAAACGCGAAGCACTCATGGCATTCTTCAAAAATACTAGTAGACGTTCCTCAGTGTTCTCAGTGTAGAGCTACAAGCAAGGCCTTCGCATTAGGAAAACTGTGGCTGTTAGAGTAGTTCCAGGTTGCTGTGAAAAGCTGTTAGCCTTCTCTGTTGGCGGCCCATAAAGTGTTTAAGTGAGGAATATGACATCGTATAGTAAAAGCACGAGGTGCAGCACATCGTAGACGGACGAAAGTAACTGTTCAGGCAACCGTAAAGGCGAAAAATTGCTATTGTAAGGGAACAGCACCCTATACAAGGCGTACTGTTAGGACGTCGTAAGACCGAAACATAGTCGAACCAAATACCCTGTGCTTCGGGTGAGGACATCATCAAATGATTTGACTCCAGGAGGATCTTACAAGAGGCGAAGCGAAGCCAACTTCGGCAGCGCAACCTTCTCGCTGCCGTCAGAAGACCGACTATGCTCCTAAGTGTGGGATAAAACGGGAAGGAGTATGTAATGGGTGAAACAGAAGCAGCCAGCGATGCAGAGGAGGAGTTTGACGTGCTGCGCATCATGCTAGAGGAATTGCGCGGTGGATACTCCATAGTTTCCTGGTGCCTGCCACTTTGGAAGGCTGGGTCCCTGCATGATCGGTAAATCTGGATGCCCATCCAACTAGCAACTTGTTTAAAACGTGGAGAACTCGTTATGGCCGATACGGAGGGGATGAAAGGGAAGGTTTTTCTCTTCATTAGTGGTTGTATTAATGCCCCGCCGATGGGCCTATGCAAGGATATCAAAGGACCTGGGAGTAGCACAGGGTGCCCGCTGCGGCCTAGAGTTGTGGCGGAGGAGATTTTCAAGCAAGCAATACGTATATTATGCTTTGGTAAATTCTGCGTCTCTCGGCCTGAGTTGATTTTAACTCCTGAAAGCGTGACGTCTCACAGCAGTATCGAATCAGCGTGCTTCAAGTGGATGTTCAGTGTACTATAAGGCATATACAATGCACTGAGCTTAATGTGTAAACAAATTCTTTTGCCAGAGGCGTTTCCTTTTGCAGCAACATGAGTTTATGCGGTCAGCTGAAGTAGTAAGGGCTTGTAATAGAGGAGCATGCAAGGCACAGTAGCAGCAGGTATCACAGTCTTTCCTGCTGATTCTGCTGCTCCTGCCAGGCGATACGTAACTTTATGGTCTGAATGTCTGGGGCACTGTTTTTCTGCCGACGAGAAGTGGAGATGCAACCAACGCCATAGCAGCCTGTCGCTGCACTCTAGATAAGGCATCCCCGTCAGTTCATCTCTAAATTATTCTTGTGTCGCTAATAGTACATTGTTTGGCGTAAATAGAACAGTTCGAGCCGTGTATGCCTGAAGGTCACCCAGTGCCTGCGCAGGCAGGGAAAAACGAATATAGAGGATGAACGAATGGAACATATCCAGCTTGTCTATGGTCCCCCTTTCAAATTTGCGTTGATTCCATCGCTGGAACTAGCATTTTATCGCTAAAAAGCAGGCATGTACTGCCGATTTGTGCACCACTGGTGGTCCAGTACAGGGCAGAGTGGGTCTCGTCCTTATGCGGACGTCTTCTCTGCCTCTTTCTGACTCTGTTAATCGAATGAACTGCTGGGGCGTTTTTTGAATTGATTTTTTTGATTAGAAACGGTTAGAACGTTAACATTTTGTTGGCCCCGTTGCGCGACGGCAGCGGTGGCGGGGCTGCTATTGCTCCTCGAGCTGCTGCCTGTGCTGGCTAATGAGCCCTGATGCCTTCAGCATATTTATTAATTTGTTTTGCTTTTCTTCGCAGCATATGGAACAGAGGTGAATCGTGAGAGTTATTGGCCTTCATGCAAACAGGCCACAGCAGCAACTGCTACGGCGCGCTCAACATCATCACCAGCGACACCTACACAAGCAAATACAGCTGCTGTAGTAGCATGATGCTTCTATGACGAGACAGGGGGCGCTTTCTTAAGGGCCACTGTGAGCTGCGGCGCTACAGGTAGCGTTTCGTTAAGTCGCAGAACCCAAGTCGCAGAACCCGGGGCTGTTTCGTCTTCCGTGTGCGGATGCGGTGTGTAGGACGTTCCTCCCTTCGACGCAGCTGCTGCTGCACAAACTGCTGCTCTGTTGCTGCAGTGTTTGCATGCGGCGTCACTAACCACTTGGGGAGCTGAAAATTAACCTGTGCGAACCTGGGTAAAGCAGCCCCGAAGCAGCAGCACGGCTGCCTGCTTCTCCTACGCAAGTGCGGAGGCAGGAGGCAGCAACACCAGCAACATAAAGGCAGCAGAACGAGCAGCAGCAGCAGTTTCTGCGGGGGGATCAGCACCAGTTTCCCAGAGCTTGCAAGGGCATCGGTTGTATCGGCCAGCACATCAGCTTCCCCTGCACAAATGGTGGTAGCAGCGTTAACACTATCGGAGGTAACGTCAGCATCTGCATATCGGGAGCATCGTATATCGTCTTTAAAGCCCATCGCGAGCAAGGTTTTGTTCCTTTGTCACTGTCCACTGTTGGGTTGTTCGCACCAGAGCCCCAGCTATTGCACAACAGCGTGCTGCAAGCCCTCCTCTTTCAGATCTAATTGCGAAAATGTCGGGGTGGTTGAGTGCGAAGATAAATGCGTTGGGAGAGAAGGTGATGGATTCAGTGTTGGATGCGGTGACGAACAATCAGGAAGTTCACTTCAGAAATCTACAGCACATGCAACAATGGTCTGTCTCCCGTCTTGTTAATCGAGTGGTCAATGCGAAGTACTTTTACAGACAGGCCAATGTGGCTCCTTGTTTGGCCTTCGACGAGATATTTCCGCCGCCACCACCGCTCTCTGCTGCTGCTGCTGCAGCTGTCGCAGCAGCTGCCGCTGCTGCCGACAGGGACATGCAGAGACGCCCTGCGCCAGGCAACAAACTGCAAAATACGCCGAGAGCCATAAGCTCCAGCAGCAGAGGCGGTAGTAGCAAGGTTCCCAGCGGCTGCAACACTGAGGAGAACATCGTCGTTCAAGGATTGCCATCACAGGCCGGCCATCCCCATCCGCAGCAGCAGCAGCGTCAGGGCTCACTGCTGCCACCCTTCATTCCTCGCGATGGAGTCGGCAGGCTCTTCATCCGAGTTCCGGGTGCCTGTTTGCTGCTCTTCAGTGCAGAGGGAGTTCGAAGCAGCCCGTTGCTGCTGCAACGGGAGAAGCACCAGCAGCAGCTAACCTGGATGTTGCGTGCGCTGGTGGAGAACCAGCAGCAACAGAGTCGTACAGTACGTCTTAGCAGCAGCAGCAACAACAGCAGCGACTGTGTAAATGAATTACCGTTTGACGCTTCCTTCGAGTTTCCCGTTAGGGATCTGTGGACCGACATTTCACTTGAAGTCATTTGCATTCGACCTTGCAGACAAATCATACTGAAGGCACACAGAGAAGCTGGTGTTGCTGCCACCCCTGCAAACAGCAGTGGCAACAGCAGCAGCGCGAATGCGCCACTTGAAGACGTTTCAGGGCTGTCTGCGGCTGCTGCAGCAGGCCGACTGCCCCCGCAACAGCAAGAAATGCTGCTGCAGCAACTGCAGCAACACGTTAACAGTCAGGCTGACGACTCCAACTTTGGGCCCATACGCCAACAAGAGCAACAGCAACAGCAGGGGTTGTCTGTAGCTTCAACGGATCTTGCACCTTCCGACGCATTCCCAAGTTTGGATGAGAGGCAACTGTATGGCCGCGTCATTATACCCTTGTCCTCTTTTCTTCGCGCTGTAGCTCCAGTGCAGAAACAAGGAGAGCGACAGCAACAGAGGCGGTGCTGGGCGACAGGTTCTGGATGGGTTAGTGAGGGGGAGTTTTGGGCTCACCTATATCCCGACAACAAGAAGCAGCAAGAGAGAAAGTATCTGAGGCCAGTTCGAGGTAAAGTAAATATTAGGTCACAATGCCAGCTGGCTTACCGTGCATTATTTGCACATGTGAATTGACATGGGAAGCAGGGGGGAATCTGGAAAGCAGGGTAGCGTGAGATGCAGAGTGGGGGAAAGTATTCACTCATGTCACATTCATGTCAGACGTTTGGAACGGCTCAGAATAGCGTGAAAGCTTCTTCAGTTTATTTTTGTCAGTTAAAAGTTTGGAAAAGGCTAGGATTACGGTTATAGGATTTGAATTTGAGGAGCTGACAAGTAGCAGCAGAGCAGAGAGGAAATGAAACATAACGAGATAGAATGGCAAAGCAAAAACGCAAAGGCGATCGAGCTCAGTTTTTGGATGGAGACTATGCTGTCTAGGGTTCTGTCCTCAGAGCGTCCACTTGCATGATTGTGTTCATCTGCCTAGGTTTCGAAGACTACGGCATGAAGAATCCGGTCTCCTCTCTGGGTTTTTTGCGCATGCAAATTCGTTTCGAATGGCTTCGGCCTCCTTATGCAGCTTCTCTTCTGTCAATTTGTTTACCACCCTCTTCTATCTGGGTTGTGCCGTCTTCTCCAGAGCCGCATTATGTCCAAACATTCGGTATCCGATGTAGAAATTGGAGCATCTCAGAGCCTAGATGGATCACCAAGTTCATCAAGCTTGGGTGTAAGTCCTGTATGTAGAGTCGTAAAACATAAGGATACACGCTTAACGAAACATGTGGAGATAAGGGAGTTCAGGTCTTGAAGCGTATATCGTTCAAGGGAAATTTGTTTCGTTGCTTGGCGCACTTCATTGGGATCTTAGGGTTTTCCTGTCAAGAGCCCGAGAAAGACCGAGACGTATCAAAGCATCTTCGCATCAGTTCGCATCTATGGTGCATGTTTTAATCGGTGCTTGCACCTGAGCACAAGATCCTAATGCTCAGTGTATGACACGGTTTCCCGCGTGCACGAAAGACAGTGCACGCACATCTTGAGTGTTTTCACCATGTGCTAGTATGGGAATCGAGCAGCCTTGCCCGCATTAACGAAGGCCAGTGTACACACTGGAAGTTTTTTCAGCTCTGGTAGCTGCGCGCACCACTTCCCTAAGATTGCTGTTACATTTTTCTGTGGTACTGCGGCTGTTTGTGCAAGCTGTATCTGGTGCTGCAGCACCAGCAGGACAAGGAATACAAACTGTTCGCACTTAGAGAACCATTAACTTGGCATTGACGTATTTAGTGGTTTGATTTTTGGCGCATTTGGCTCCACTTTTTTCTTGGTTTCCAGTCCTGTGTGTCCTGTGTAATCAGCGCCTTCACACCTGCGGAGCTCCCTTTCGGATTGGATATTTGTTGGATTTTTTTGGTTGTTTTTGTTCATTTCGATTGTTCTTGCCAGACCTCAAGACATCCCTTGTACTGTCGCCTTGTGTATTTCTGTAGTTTCCCTGTCTTACAAATACTTAGACACGCAAAAAGACAGCACATCACCATGCTACAGCAGCTCTCTGTTGCCAAGTAGTAGTTGCAATAACAAAGGGGGAGGTGGCATGGGATTTTCTGATGAGCATTTGCTCAAAAACGAGAGGGCCATACCTTTACCTGTACTGCAGTGCAGCACGCGATCGCTTCCATCCCCTGCCCACTTCACGCATACGGCAGTGGCATCTGCTGGACCTGCAGTTACCACTTCTGGGAACGTTGCAGCACCAGAGTTTTCTACTTCGGCAATTGCGCCAGCCCAGTACGCAGACGGAATGGCATCGAAAGGAAAAAGTACTGAGTGTCCTGCGGGCCTGAGAAGCCACGCTGTTTGGCAGGTGCCACAGCATCAGCATCAGCAAATGCAAATGGCAGGCAAGGACGCATTCTGCTCCGCTACTGCATCTGAACAGGAAGTCACTAGCGGCATCTCATTAGGACACCTGGAGCGGCTTCAGCGTGCGGACTCGTTCTCGCAAGAACCAGTCATTAAGCGTTCGTCTAATCAGGGTCTGTGGCCCCTGCTGTCACTGGGTACTGAAGACGGAGAATCTGGGACAGCCCCAACGGAAGCAGCGGCAGGAACGCCTTCAGCAACAGGAACAGCAGCATCGTGTTCAGCACCAGGAGCAGTAGGCACTGGCGAAGAGACTGAAAAAGAGGGAGCCTCTATTGTGCATAGCCCCTTCGGCAAAATTCGTGTGTCCGTACACTCCAGACCCAATGGAGGGGAGGAGTGGCCCATATTTGCAGATGATGAAGCAGAGCCTCTACTAGCGCAGCAGCTTCATTACCTCGTCGAGCTATCAACGGTACTACAGGTACGCAGCGACTGCTGCTGCGGCGGAGGCGTTTGCCGTTGTTAGATGTACTGTATCACCCGTTTTACTCTTGTAGCATCCATGTTCCCTCGACAATTCTCGCCCTTGCTTTGCTTCTGCAACAATTTCTGCGGCTGCTGCTGCCACTGGGGAGTTGTGTGATGCGGCACTATGTTTTGTCTTCAGCTTTTCTTTGGGTATACAGCTCAATTTTTGGACAAACTGAAGTATGCATTTAACTGGGAAGATCCTTTGTTGACATTTGGGTCTGTTGTTTTACTGCTGCTGCATGGGTTTCTCTTCTCACTGCTACTGCAGCTACTTTCCTTTCTGCCGTTTCACTACTGGAGGCTGTTTGCATTCTGCTGCCTTCTCTTTGGGGCAACGAATTTTACTGCCGCAGCAAAGTCTGTTGTCAGCTTTGAGCTGAGCAAGTTGGAGGCGAGACGGAATGAACGGCTAGCTGCTGCAGAATCTCCTGCTGCAGCCGGAGCAGCAGCAGCCGGAGCAACAGCTTTCCCCTCAATGCAGAAACCAGTAGGAACAGAAGCCCATAGTGATTCTGCTAATACTTCGACAGGAGACCGCTCCAGCGCCTGCAGGAGCGCGTATCCACAGAAACAAGGATTCTGGCTAGCGGGCATCCTGAGGCAGAGGCGGAGCAGCAGCAGCAGCAGCAGCAACACAACTGGAACGAAGACGATGGATCAGGCACCAGCAGCAGTACCGTCAGCAAGAGCAGCCGGGGGTGCATCAAGCGCCTCCGATCTGGGGCACAGCAGTGGTGGAGACATAGCAGGTGACGAGGTGCTGTTGTTCCCTGCTACAGGAGGCAGTGGCAGCCTCGGTAGCCGCCTGCGGCAATTACTTTTGCGCGGGTGCATGCTGGTACTGGCTGTGTGCCTGAGCGCATTCAGGGTAGTACTGGGTTTGCTTGACACTTACATAACAGGCCGCATTATTTGTGCTGCCGAGTCTGCTGTTGTTTCGTATTTCGCGATCATTGCTTTCTGGTGGCTACATCTGCCAGAGCAGCGGGAGATGGAGCACCGGCAGATTGCTGTCTCGCAGCTGTTGCCATCCCTTTCTGTACTGATACCACCAGAGGATCGCGAAGCGGCAGCATTGCGCCCGCAGCAGCAGCAGCATCAGCAGCATACAACAGCAGCAACACCGGGAGCACGCCCCCAACCCGCTGAAGAAGGGATGACGCCATCTGCTGGTGTCGCTGATGTCAAGCCCCATGGGTTGTACCCGCGAGATGTATATACATTTCTGCGGCGGTACTGCCGCAGCAGGTGGCAGCGAGAAAACCCAGTGACTGCTCAGCTGTACGCGGCAGCCCCATATTTGATGCCGCGCAGCAGGAGCAGCAGCCTAGGCTTGGATGAGTCTCCGTCGCAGCAGCAGCAGACGAAACGGGAAACAACGTCATTTTCTTCTCTCTCTGCAGAACTGAGCAAGGCAGCATCGTCCTCTTGGGGTTTTACGGCTGGTGACGCCGATTTGCAGCAGGCCGAGCAACAACAGCAGCAGCAGCAAGCGGGATCAAATTCGCCACACGGGCTCGGACGGTGTGGCAGCGCGGGGACAGTGGAGGGAGGTACTGGCTTAGAGTTCTCGCAGCCGTTGGATAAGGGTCTGTCTGCTTCTGCTTCGCTGACGCACCTGACGGCACAGGGAGAAATCGACAGGCTTTTGTGTCACCCCGAGTTTCTCGCCTGGCAGCGGTGTCTCTTTGAAAGAGGCCAACAGCCTGCTTCAGATGAGATGAGCGAAGAAGACCATCAGCACTTGCAGCGCTTGTCGATGCAACGGCAGCCTCAACAGCAAGACAGTGAGACGGCACGGAGCGGGCAGCCCAAAAGGGCCCAGCAGCAGCAGCAGCAGCAAGTGACGCCTGATCAGCAAGGGACCCAGCAGGAAGCGGCAGGACCGTTTGGAGGTCTCGGATTCCCTGGCCTGAAGGCCTTCTTTGGACGTAAGTCACGTGGCAGACTCACGGCAAGTAACAGCATGCCATAAAGTTGTTCTGTGGATTCTGGTGATGTTACTGTGGCCGCTGAAGTAGCTGCGGTAGTTGCTTCGTAAGGGGCAGCCGCCGCTGCTCTGGTCCTGCAAGCGGCTGCGCTGCTGCCAAGTTTAAGGTTCGTTAATCCTTCATGGATGCTCCTATGATATTTTGGTGAAATTGAGTGCTGCTGCAGTGCAGCGGCTGCAGTGGCGACATCAGCATACTGTGTACGGAATACGTAGTTGCGGCGGTGCCAGCACTGTTTGTTGCTGAAGCAACAAGGCACCTTACGCAGGGCGCTATCTACTGTACGGATGCAGCAGCAATGACGACGCCGGCTTTTTGCTGCCCCTCACGGGAGCCACTGGCCTTTGCTGCTGCGTACCCTGTCGTAATACGTGGTCTCTGCACTGTGCCAGCAGCTGCTGCAGTAGTAGTAGTATCAGCAGCAGCAGCAACAACAGGAGCAAAAACGTAGTCTGAGACATCGTATTGAGCTATGAGCCAAGGAACTGGAGGGGCAGCGTGTATTTATATTCGTGTTGGCGCTGCTGCAGTTACAGCCGCTGCCTCCGCCGCAGAGCGTGTTAGTGTGCGACTAGACCTGCAACGTAGCAGCACAGCAGCACCTGCAGCAGCAGCTGCGGGAGAACCTGCCGACAGCAGGAGACAGACATAACGCTAGCGTCTCCTCGTACAGACACAGCAGTGCACTCAGGAGGGAAGCATACAGGCACAAGCTGTTGCTGTCATGGGATACCTCTGCTGTTGCATCATTTAGCTTTTGGCAAGTTGCGGTCAGAAGAGTCTTAGCAGCATGTTTGAGGGAAAGGACTCAGTGGCGGAGTACGAAACTTTCTCTGGACGCTGTTGCGGTTTTCTTCTCAGATAAGAGCAAGAACTCGGATCAGCAGGCCTGCAAGAAGAGCGGCAATGAAGGAGGTAACAGCAGCAGTAGCGCTTGTGTGGAGCGGGATATGAAACAGCTCGATTCTGGTGCTGCAGAGAAAGAAGGCCAACGGCGCCTGGCTGTAAGGTTCTGCGATGGCTCCTCTGCCAGTGTGGTGGGGACTTGCGGCGCGCAGCAGCAAGAGAAACAGGACTGTCCTTATATTGAAGGTATTTTGTTAGAAGAAGAAATTACTGGGTCCTCGAGGCCATGTTCACTCTAAAAGGAGTACAGGAGCCGTAGGATTTTTCTTGTCGTTCCTAGCATCAGCAAGGGTTGCGGCTGCTATCGGCATAACTACTTCGACTCAAGTCCACTTGTGTATGTTGTTTCCCTCCTATCAGGTCCTCAATTCGTCTGTTCAGAAGAGGTAGGGGGCACAACCAGGAGCAGCTGTAGCAGCAACTGGCAAGCAGCAGCTGCCACACCTGCACCGAGCTCGGGCAGCGCTGGAATGCCAAGAAGAGAGCTTAAAAATAATGCAACGCAGCCTGAAGCAGGACAGCTGCATTCATTGCACGGGTCAGCTCATCCCGAGGAGTTGGCTACTTTGCCGTTGGCTCAGCAGCAAGTGCTGCAACATCCGGGTGATCGGGCTACCGCTCCGGCCTCACCAAGCATTAACAGCAGCAGCGGCAATCCGGCAGCAGCATTCGCTATGTCTCCTACTGCAACACCTCAAGGCGAGCCCATGAGCCAGTCAACGACGACCAGGTCGTCTGTGACCCAGCAGGAGCACGAAGCAGACCCGGCACCTTCGCAGCAGCAGCACCCGAATGGCAGAGAGAATGCAGAGGCCACAGACTTGTGGTGCAAAGGCCAGCAGCATGCACAGATGGCACTGCAACACCTGCAGAGCGTACAGCAGCAGCTGATAGCCATGGAAGAACAACAGACTATTCTCGCACGGAAAGCATTGCAGGTGCGGTCTTCGGAAGCCACAGAAACAAACCACGAGCAGCAGCTGGGCGAAACAGACGAACAACATCAAAGTGGTAATCAGGTGGAGACTTCTCCTAGTGATGAGCTGAGCAAGGCGCCGTCGCAGCAGCAACAGCAGCAGCAGCCTCCATGGTGGGTTCCTGGCCCATGGAACGAAACAATTTCGTCTCCGCTTGGTCCTGCGAGAACCAGTAGCTCTCCCCGGCGCCAACAGCAGCCATCGCAGCAGCAACGACCACAGCTGCAGCAGCGGTACTTTAGCAGCAGCATTCCGGATTTGAGTAGCCGCAGTGGATGGCTTCTGGGTTCAGGGGAGCTCCAGCAGCAGCAGTCAGACCCAACAGGCATCACTGGTAGGAGCAACAGCTTAGGGTTTTTGACGGAAAAGGACACGTTTTCAGCTGCCATTGCATCTATTGGGAATTTCGTAGAGAGCTTAGGATGGAATCTGAACTCTTCTCCCACGCCAGTTCCTTCTAGGGTACCTCCTTCAGACCCTGCTGCAGCTGCCAGTGCTGCAGGTGAGGATGTGCCTGCAAGGCCATCACAAGATACACCGGCTTCAGAAGCGAACCCGAGTGGATGAAGTAGCAGCAATTGCAGCGTAGGAAGCAGCTGCAGAAACAGCATCGACGCAAAGCGCCGTTTGTTGTGTTTGTCTATTCACCGGGTTCATAAGGTTACATTGCTCTTTACGGTATTTGCTGCATTTTAATTTTCGGGTGAATGCATGGACTGGCGTGGTACGTGGCTTGGACCTTGGCATAGCTTTATGTGCATTTAGTGTGTGTTTGACGTATTTTTTGTCGCGTGTGTGCCGCATATTCCACTCGTTTTTCATGTTGCATTTTGTTCAGTCGTTTTATCCCGTTCGCCTTTTTGTGGCACTGTGCTAGCCTCCTGTTTTCCTGGCCTTGCCTCAGCATTCTCTTCATACACATACAATTTGAGGCCTCAGCTCCTGCTCATTTTTTCACTTCGGCAACTGAAGCTGAGGGAGTTGCGAGTGGCCGGTGTTTATTTGCTGTAGATAGGCCACGGCGAACTTTGCATCACTGTAGTAGCCCGTTTGGCCCGCATCGACAGAATCCAGCACATAAGGGCATTCAGTTGCCAACAGAGACAGGGCTACAGGCCTGCTGAATGCTACAGGCGCCATATTTACATATGCGTTTTTGTGGACGTGAGTGTACTACATATGAGCTTATGTACAAGCCACATGTGTACTCTACAAGTCTTCTCATCCCACGCACACATAGTTTTCTCATGTGTTGCGGTGGACGCACCAAGGGTGGCACACGGTTTACGTGGCTAGCCGTTGAGCACTTATTGGGAGGCTCCGTGTGGAGTTCATGTTTAGAAGAGCTCTCCTTCTTGGCTGATGGCATGATGAAGTGCTGGTGGCTGTGACAGTCCCACTGCCGAGTGCGGACGCTTCGCTCACGTGCAGAGTGACAAACGTTGTGTAGTGTTTGCACTATGTAGAGGCAGGTGCACATGGAATGGTCAAGTAGATGTGAGGGAGAAGAGCAATAGATAGAATGTACAGGCACCAGCCACGGGCAGAAATCAAGAGTTACGTGGGCACCTGTGTGGATTTATCAGTGGACCCAAAAGAGAGAACTGTGGAGAAGTGAACATTTGGGTTTGATTTGTTGCAGGAGCTATCTTGTATCTGGCTACTTTACATGTGCATCACACCACGTAGCTGCTCGTTGATTCCCCACAGTTTGAGTCATATTACGCTTGAAGCAGCCATCTGGTGCCTCAAATGAAAAGTCAAGTTTTGGGTATCAAAGGATTATAGTTTACGGTTTGCAGATTCTGCAGGTACGCGCAGCAGCCGCCTCATTTGTTTCCCATCAATCCCCTAATTGTTAGCAAAGTAAATTTAGGTAATACCGTTGAACAAACGTGATACCAGAAGAAATGGGCACGTGAACTAGGCAGTAGGAGGGCGTGGACTGTAGCACATGAGCGAGGTCACGCAATTTGGAATTCATGGCGAATCATTTTGTACTCATGTGCATTGCACGTGGTTCTTTGAATTCGTGCACGTTTGCTTGTAGTTTCCGTGATTTCGTTTGAGTTTGGTGGTGGTGTGACCATGCGATGCTTTCCTTGGCAAGCTACACGTAAATGAAGTACGGACGGGTAGTAACGGCACACAAGAGTCGCAGAGCGGTACGGAGATCTAATGGGAATCTCAGCTGTTGTCCAGACGAGAGCACAATAAGACAAGCCACCACCTGTGTTTTCTTAGGGAACTGAGAGCTCTGTGCCGCTCGTTTTGAATGGCGGTGAGGCAGCGAACCGTTCTAGCTGTCGATGATGTGCCCTCATTTGTGTCTGTGGATCAGCAGTGGCCCTACTCGAGGGGGCAGGTAGCAGCGTAGTCGCAGCAGTACATGCTGTGCACTACAGTGGGGCCCACTACGTCACGGATTGTGCCGCTCCAACCAGACCAGTAAAAGCGTACGATGAAGCTCATAGCTGTATTTAGTCTCCATGAGCAGGGATACCAAAAGTAGCATGCAAGCGGCACACCTAGGAACGGCGGGAGGAGCACTTCCTAGGCTCAAAAGACAGGGTGAAGGGTTGCTGTGTGTGGTCGCCACAGTGTCAAATGCCATCCAAATCTCTCCAGGTTGAAAGAACAGGCTTCCGAAGCAAGTGAAAGGAGGTGCCATATACTTAGAGGCTACGGCAGCGATTAAGCTATACCTAGAAAGAGAGGAAGAGAGTTCACGAGACGTGGAACTTGCTGCTGCGAGCAAAGGAGAGCGACAAAGCAGGCAAATCGCTGAAACTCCTGACGGTGGTGTAAAGCTTCACCACAATCGCGGCGTGACAAATTGCATTCAGAGTCGACAGATAAATGTTAAGAGGCTACTTTGTTGTGCGCAAAATACAGCTACGCTTGTTTTTGAGACACTTCAGCACGAGTATGGAATGTTTCTGGACGCAGGTGCATGGCACAAATTCATTTGCTAGATCACAGCGGAGTGGCTACAATTACGTGTAGATCGCCTGCACAAGGTTTGCCGCTTTGCTTTCGCGGATGCAGAACTGCAACATAGCAACCGCCTGGTGACGAGACTATCTATGCAGGTCGGGAGTGGATTTCTAGTGGGGGACTACCTCGTGGAGATTATACATTATGACATTGTCCAAAGAGCAGAATAGGTAACAGAACATATGGTGGACTCATAGCTTGAGTTCGATACGCTACCAGCCTACCTTAGTATAGATGGTGCGACCCACCAATCAGAAGGGCATAAGACATGAAGTATCTAACAGACCTCCACAGAAAGTGCGAGCGCAGACCCCAGCAAAGCAAGCCTGTGGCTTGTTTGCTCAATAGGTGGCAGAGGCGGTTCCACTTCTTTGCCTCGCTACCAACAGGTACACAGCGCACCACAAAGCCAAGGCCACATCATGGCTCGCGCTAGCAAAGCAAACTACCAAGTGCGCTACAGGGGTTCAAAACCACACTGGCTCCACCGGGCGGTAGAAAGCAAACCATCACTCGCGCATCTCAAGAGCGTCAAGCACCTCCCCTCCATACTTTGGGGATGCATTGCAGTCGAACTGTTACAGGACATTGCGGTATCTTAGTTCCGGTGTTTACGCACAAGGCGCTGTTGACGAGGAAGAGCCACCATGGTCCACCTCCACACTCGACTACACGGATTGATATTGTCAGATGAAGCGTGGATACTCAAGATGCAAAAAGAATGTCAAGCAGCCTTGCCTCACACTTTAGCCGCAGGGCTGTCACCAAATCGTTCAGATGACCACCAAATCCCACTTGTGCCATGCAAACACCCGGCCAAGGCGCCGACGCACAGGATGCAAGTGGATTATTTCGTATTCCACTAGCAAGTGAAAACGGGGTTCTGAGCGCATTTATGGATAGCAACAGCATATTCCTTTAGCTGCTTCCCAACTAGCATGACCGACAAACCAAAAGATGGTTCAGTACTCGGAAAAATTCCTATGATTATCTACTGTCAGGCATCAAACGCTTAGAATCATTCCTGACTTTCCTCTGCCCTCTAATCTAGCTATTCAAGAAATTCTGATAAAAGTCAAGCATTTCTTCACGTTGGATTTTAAAGTGGGTTGCTGTCAAATGTGCATAGAAGACTCATAAATGAATGAAATTCGCTCACTCCTAGGACTATCCAAGTGTACGATTGTGTCCCTTGGCCTCAAGGGTCCCCGGCTATCTTTCAAGCTACTATTCTGACTTATCTACAACATTTTCTAGGCCAGGTTGTCATTGCCTACTTTGGCAATGCATTGCTACGTAGCTCAGCTCTGTCCACAAAAGTCAAATCTCTGAAGGAGGTGCCCAGCCCCTTCCTCAAATGAGAATTCTGCCGCAAGCATCGCAAGCTCACGTTTATAGAACAAGAGCGCACCAAAACCAAAATCTCGGACAAGCCATTAGATTTGAAGGTAGTATGCCTCTAGCTAACAAGTTTTGTGCACGTCCTGGCCTCACTCCTACATGATTACCCGTCGCGCTACTGAAGTACTTTCAGACCCGTATACCTTCAAGGAGCCCACGTGGACCCTTAAAATGCAAAGGAATCAAATATATCTTTCTCCCAGCCTCTCTGACGCCTTCGGTGTGCCTCGCTATGAGTGTGTCCGCTAGTTACTTAGCGTAGGGGTGGTGTACTTGTAGTTTACACACTATACTTGTTATCACTGTCATTCACAAAGTCAAATCCATTTTGTTCGTTCGCAGGGTTCCTGGCACATCGACACACACATAGTTTATTGGTTAATTCTCTTTTTTGTCATTAAAACGTTAAGAACATAGAAATGCAGTGTGAAGTTCTCAGTGAAGTGGCTTTCGCAGAAAAGAAGCGGAATGCAAAGCTCCAAGCAGAGCACGGGCTTGGCCTTCTGTGTAAACGAATTCACGTGCACGCAGGTTGTTATTGAAGCAATGTTTTTTTACCCAAAATTGTTACGCTTGAAAACCATAGATTTGTTGCTGCTGATGGTGAATGGTATTCGTCGAATTTAGTTCTCGCGTGCCTGTGCCTGTGCAGCCAGATATGTCCTTCTTTTCTTGCATTTTCAAGGGCCTATAGCCCCGCATACCTATCTCGTAACTTCGGTCTGTGCACTTTGTTTTTAGTGCAGCGTGGTTCCCAATTATTCCGAAAGAAACGAGTTTCTTGTTGGTTGCTAGAGGCATCAGCTGCTGTTGAGCTTCCCGCAAAACTCTCACATATGGGAGCCAATTGTTTAGTACAAACATAAAATATGAATGGCAGTGGCAGTGAATACTGTATCGCTTATTTTTGGATTTATTCACTATTTTGAAATGGGCACAACGGCTTTTGCTTGGGCTGAAAATGCTGGTCGGGAGCGGGGGCTGTCCGAGGAGCCTAGGTAATCCGTGAGACAGGCCTTGTTGGCATAGGTTATATCAAGAAAATAAATGTGCTACGACGTATTAACACGTGATGTACTCTCTGTATTACCAGATGAAGGCGGGGGGGCCCCGCGAGCAGCTGCGCGGCAGGCTGTTGAGGGAAGGCCGACAGCGCAGGAACTGAAACAATCCGGGCAGAGTTTATCTCTATTGGCATTATATCAGTGTATTGTTTTACTCTATCGAAGTCTACTTTTGATGGATTGCAACTAGGAGAGGGAACTCGAGCAAACAATAATTGCAGCGGCACGGGCGGATCGCGGCGGCGGATGGTCAGCTCAGCCGTAGAAAACACACGCAAGTTCATCAATCTTTCACACATCTTTCAAGCCCTCTCATTATCTTGAGTGTTTATTTGAAGTAAAATAGTCCAACTGCGACACATGCTTCGGAAACGAGGGTGTCCCATGAAGTCAGCTTCTGCCAAGGTGACAGTTGAGGTCTCATGAAGTACTCGCCTCTATCTGTTCCTCCAAAATATACCAGCAGCGGCGCTGTTCTTAGCTGGATTCACACGGGGTCCATTACAGGGTGTGCATACACGCATCAACAGTAACTGAGCACGCCAACAGAGGCGAGGCCTGAGGCGAGGCCTCTGAGTTGCATGTAGAGTTCCACGCCACATGTAATTGCTTCTTATGTCTGAGGAATCCCCAGCACAGAGCTTAACAAGAAGATTACCTTTCACTGAGGCTCTCGAAGATCCCTTGAACGATTAGGGTCTTTGGATGAACAGAGGACACGAAGGAGAAAATGGTAGGATTCATGCGGTAATTTATCATCCTTATCATCAGACACGTCTGTCTCGACCACAGTGAAAGCAAGGAACGTACTGCTAAGAAGGCCTGGTGTGCAGGCTGACCGTCTCAGTTGCCGTATTTATAGCGCGAGCGTGTTTTGGTTGCTAATATTGCTTGGTGCCTCCACAAGTTTTTATCTGTTTTCCTGTTGTATGCTGCATGCAGCTGTCAACATTCTTCGGTTCTTCTTGTTCAGTGGACATTTCGCTGGACAGAGAGGGACGGAAATGCACTTGGTTATCGAAGGAGAAAAAGGGAGAGAAGCTGCCAATTTACAGTGTAAATTGAGCAAAGCGCACTACGGCTGGTTCAACTTACCGTAGTTCCCCGCTTTTTATTTTATGCTACGCTTAATTCGCCACGCTCCTTCACATGGCACAAAGGGTGCTCAGTATGGGCGGCTGTATTTCCTCATGTCTTTGTGCTGGTACTCGAAAAGGCGCACCCTATGCTAAAATCTGTCCACTCTGTATTGCGGGAAATTGCTTCAGGATGTGGAAGACGTCAGCGGCGTTGCACTGTTGAACTTAAAGACGGGAAAAAAACTAGAGCATAATGGCATTAAAGTGGAACTAGTGGGCCAAGTTGGTGAGTTTCAACTAGAGAAAGCTATAATCCAAATATTTATAATGCTTAGGTTTCCTTGTCTTCCCACTTTCCGCCCACTACGGTTGTCTACGTAACCAGTGCCAACACGGATACCTGCGTAGAATAGCGTATACATTCATCTGATGAACAAGCCAAGCGATCTAGCATAATGAGTTGTTTCATTCGCTTCTGCAGGTGGGCGACGCAGTTTGTCACCCTCAAGAATAGACTGCCCTTATCTCCACATTGGGGCAAGTGCTCGTGTGAAGATGGATTCCTGTGTGGTCACGTTTTTATGCACAGTTGGGCATGACATGCACATGTACCTGAGCCGGCAAATTGATGTGTCATTTTATTGCTTATGGGATTGTATGAAGCATATTGTCTCCGGCGCATAAGCAGCAACCGCATGTAAATATGTGAACACACACGACTTGTTTAGTTCAACAAGTCACTTGTATACAGGAAGCTTTGTTGCATATATATGCATCTATGGTTGGCCCTAAAATTCAAGATCAAGTCTTCTACCCAGAGAGTCAGACACGTTAACTGCGCGTTTAGTTCTTTGATTGCGACATTTGCTGCAGACATGCTGTACGACAGGAGCAGCACGTATGACTTTTTTTCAATATCAAAAGACTTAGAGCCTCCTGGCCTGTTACTTGAAAGTAAAAAATATAAATTCAAATTCAACGCTGTTGACAAAGCCCACGAGACGTACTCTGGAATTAACGTCCGTCTTAGATACTTCGTCCGGCTCACCATACACCGAAATTACGCAAGGTGGGCCTCCTTTCCGTGTCTGCGACATTCACTCACAACATGTACACATGATTCCGCTTACGTATGCGTGTGGCACATGACCTTCATTTGATACTTCCATATGTTCGTTTGAGGCCATGCTTGACTGAGCCCTTAATTAACTCAGTGAAACATTTGCATGCTTGGGTGAGTTAGTTCGTTAGCATTTACCCGTTTTGGGTGTTCTTAATGTCCCTGGTATCTTGCTGAGGCGTCCTTTTCTTAATCACTTTGCGGTGCGTTTTGTCTTGTGCTTATTATTTTTTCTAGTCACTGAGTTTTCTTTCATCAAACGTTTACCTTGCGTCTGTCACAGCAGCATTGTCAAGGAGCATGACTTTGTCGTGCAAAATGTTGGACCGCCTCCTGAGATAAAGAATTCAATCAAGATGGAGGTCAGCCCGGCATACATTTGCATGAGTGCACATTAAATTTAGTCATGGTAAATGTGAGTTCTTTCGCCTAGAAATAAGTGAGTGAGGAGTGGGTATGGATGATACACGGAAGAATTCCTATAAAGCTGTCCAGAATGAAAAGAAAATGCAAGGCAGGCGTGCGTTCGGACTAAAATCAATTCGGTTTGGTATGGGGTACTTGAACCAGAAATTGTGGAGTGTGCTTTTGTGCATTCGGTTGCTTTGCTGTGTTTGGGCATGTGGCACAGACACAGTGGTTAGCTTCTATACCACATCTGATTCAGTCTTGTGTGCGTGCCCCTCTCTGTTTAAATTAGGTCGGCATTGAGGACTGCCTGCATATAGAATTTGAATTTGACAAGAGCCGATATCACCTAAAAGATGTTGTCATTGGCAAGGTTTATTTTGTCCTTGTGCGGATTAAGATTAAAGACATGCAACTCGATATAATCAAGACAGAAACTGCAGGGAATGGTGCGTTCGCACAAATCTTGACAATGCCAGAAGCATCGCCAGCTGTTGCAGGTTTTAAAAGGGGAAAAGTGCAGGGAATTTGCTGAGGCATATGGACGCCACAGTAGTGACGTATATTGTGTCGCGTCAGTGCTTTCCAGTGGTGTCGTCTTCGCCTCTTCTCCTAACTGGCCTTTGCGCGGTTTGTCTGCGCTTGTAACTTTCCATTGTACCTGATCGAGTGCAGTGACGCCTAATCGTGTATAAGTTGCTTTACTTCTGTTTGTGCAGGAGCCGCGGCTGTGACAGACTCAGAGACTCTTTCCAAATTCGAAATAATGGACGGTGCCCCTATACGATGTGCGTCTACAGCATATGACGATTTGCCTTTCGGCAATTGCTGCACAGGTTGCCGAACTATGCGTGCTTGTCTTTGGCTATCTACGCGAGAACTGGGGTCCTGCTGGCTCTATGGATAGAATTTTGGGTTTGTTTATGAGCTGACGCAATTTGCTTTTCATACCCAATTCCAGGACAAAGGTTCCTATTTTGTATCGCATTTCTTGCCGAAAGGAGAAATGACATCGCCGTAGCGTTGTATATTTTCTGTGGTTGCAGCGGAGTGCATACCTGTGAGGCTCTATCTAAGTGGATTAGATCTCACCCCAACATACAAGAATGTCCAAAACAAATTTTCAGTTCGGTACTTCTTGAACCTGGTTCTTGTAGACGAAGAAGACCGAAGGCAAGCCATAGACGTGAAACATGGTCTCTTAGGCCTGCCTGTGGCCTTGTAGTCTGTCTGGAACGCATCAACAGGGCTTCCTTCCCCTGTTGGCTCCTTTTCAGGGTGGTTCTTGTACAGTGTGGTTCATTTGCTTGTAGGTATTTCAAAAAGCAGGAGATCATCCTGTGGCGGAAGAAGATAGGCTAAGGGAGCGCAACGTACTTACAGGCAGCTTTCTCAGCAGTGTGAGCGAAATGTATTCGTTTACGTGGCGTTTCAGTCAGCCAACGCGACGCTCAAGGCAATGCAGTGCAAAGAGCTGTCTGCTGCTCTGTCAGTTACAGGAGCGCCTGTGAAAATGCCACATCCTAGATGTATCTAGCTTTGCTTGAAATTTGCATGCGTTTGACAGCGATCTTTAACCCATTATGCAAGGCTGTTTTCTTCCTACCGCAATCGGTTCGCTTGCTCTTTAGTCTAGCACTTGGCGTCCTCTGCGCTGCAGACTGTGAAACCACGCGATTGAACTCAGAGGACGCCTTTAGTTAGTTGCTCAGAGTGGCCAGTGTTTTATATCGCGGCGTTTAAAGCTGATGTAGGATATGCAACGGCTGAAAAGCCATTAGCGTTTCAGTTGCAGAGTGGAAATCCTTGAGCCTAGCGTGCACAGCAGCGCAAAAGTTGGCATTGAGAGTCAGTAGGCAACGCTGGGGGACTGAAGGGAATAGAGAAGCGCACTTATCGTCCCCTTTCTATTAAGAAACGCTTTCAGTAGCTTTGAAAGGCGCAGCGTCATGAGAAAGATTTGACAAGTTAAGTGACGCTGCCAAGCGAGCAGAAGGCACTGCAAACGAGGTCCTTGTTGCCGATAGCTCTCAGCTCTCTGCTGAAGAGTAAGTAACACTTGGGTCAGTCTCCCTAGGCTCTTGGCAGCTTCGAACGGACTGGTGCAAGTTATAGCTCCCAACATGACACAGATGATTGCAGCTTCTGCCTGTAACTCAGTAGCGGCGTGGTGGCGTAGAGGCGCTCTGTGAGGCACTAATCGAACTGTACGGGGTAAAGGAAACCCGGGTTCGACTCAACGAGCTCTGAGATGCCGTGGGTGTAGCCAAACTGGTCGCTTGCGACGTGGAGCTGCGCTGGCGCTGAGAGGACGACGTGCTATAAGATGAGCGTATGCCACTTCTGCGGCCTACGGGTGGGATAATCCCGAGTTCCTGGGTACTCGCTGTGTCTATGACACCAACAGTAGGCTCCCTCCGTTCTTCTGCCTGCCGCTGTTCCTGTGCTCTCTTTTCCTCTTTCCGCCTCATATACTCCCGCCAGCTCAAAACTTTCTTTGGAGAAACGTCGTGATAGTACAAATTATTGTACGTCGTCCCATAATCCTCCCTGTAGGAATGGGTGCTATAAGGACTGCTAAAAGGGTCGGGGTAGTACATGTAGGTCCTGTAGGGCGTGTTTGGATAGTCTGCACCATCAGTAGCCCGATGGCGGCCAGCTGAATCGCCGCTTGTCGCGCTAGGTCTCAAAGCCCCTGGCCACGGCACCTGTGGTCCGGGGGGAGGTGCGCGTGATGACGAAGTGCTGAGCTGAACAACAGGAAATTCATTAGTTGACTCCTCTTCTTTATCCACAAAAGACTCATTGCTATCTTGACTATGATACCTTGTTCTTTTCCTTATGCCAGCCAGTGAGCGCAAAGCACTGCTCTTGCCGACATCAATACCGACCGACATTGTGTCATCTTCTTGGACAGTCGCTGTTGCTTCAGACGATTCCTGACCTGTTCCTGCTGCGGTATCTGCGTTTCTAGCGGATTCTGCTACGGGCATACTTTGTTGTTTGGTAAGGTTGGCATCCTGCATCAGGGCAGCCTGTTCATTCATATGCCCAACCAGAGGAGCAAGAGATTCGATGCTGTCATTTCTGTTGATATTCTGAAGCACCTTCTTCATCCAGTTATTGATCTCTTCTTGACTCTCCTCAAGTGTTGCCAGCTTCGCCCATTCGGGCAGCGCTCCTGCCTTAGACAGTTCGTTTTCCATGGCGACAAGCTGTGTTTTTTGAGGGTTGGAAGGCTGTTGCATTTCCTGGCGCCCTGTGGCTGATGGTTCATCAGGTTCCCCAGAATTCACTGTGATCTCCTGATGGCGTTCACTGCTTACATCGCTTTGAATATTGTTTTCTGGAGCCTCTTGTGCGTCTGACTGAGATCGAAGTGAAGGAGACTGTGTGTGAGAGACATCAAATGAAGGAGGTGTGTGACCATCGTTGGGTTCCGAAACAGAGTCACCGTTGATACCATCACTGATGGACGCGCCTTGGTTTTCATCGCTCTTCAGGTTAGTTGAGTCAGTGTCTTTGCCCGCATCTCTTGGTTCTGATCCCATGCTCTCAGCAAGAGAAAGAAGACGGGCTGAGGCTTCGCTGGGCGTGGAAATCGTAAGGTTGTTATTTCTGTAGTTGCGCAAATTGAATCCTCCGCCAGACGGGCTTCCTGGTTCAGTGCGGAGTCCACTATTCATAGGAGCTGGAGCTGGAATGGAGGGAATTATGCCGCCATTCGAAGCTATTGCTGCGAGCGGCGGAGGTATCGGTTGCGGCCGTGCAGTGCTGGGTACGGGCCCCAAATGAATCGTCGGTGCATCCTGCAGGCGCGGTGACGGCTCTCTGTGGTCTGTGTAAATTGGCTGCCTTGCTCCTGCATTTGCTGTCATCTCCTGGAGAGTAGTTACTCCGCCATTGATTCTTGTTCCGCTAGCAGGCTGCTGGGCTACTCCTCCCTGCAGGTTGCTTCTGTTGCGTATGCTAGGCAGAATTGTATGGACTGATTCCCACAAGCTTTCAATGTCTTCTACAATGTTATCTTCACGAACATTACTTACTGCTTGCTGCGTGTGTCCTCTGTCTCGATCTTGTCTGCCGGGTCCTTGCTGCAACTGGTCCCGCTGCTGCGTGTAGCTCCTCAGCCGAGCTATTCGTGTTACGATATCGTCTAACAACGCACTGTCGAGACGTCCGCTGGTCTGCTGTCTGCTAGCGTAGTCTTGAACACGATCAAGAGCGTGCTGAGCTTGATTCTCCACGTCACGATCCAGACGACTCTGGCGGGCCTGTTCGGCACGTTCTACTTCCCTAGAAATCTGCTGTTCCATGCTTAATCGGCCATCCATCCGTTCGCGTTCTCGATGCTCTGATTCCAGGCGTTGCCTGTCTCGCGTTGCGTTTTCGTGTTCTTCTCTCCTGGCCCTGTCACCAACTGAGCGCAGCCTGCTTATCCGGGCTGCCTCGCGATTCTGCTGAAGCATTACTTCCCTTTCACGGGCTTCTTGATCTCTCTCTCTCCTTGCGCGTTCCTGTGCCTCTTCATCAAGTCTTGTACTCTCCAAGCGTTGTCTATCTGTGGACGGTAAAGTTTGCCGGGTCTGTTGGGTAGTGGGCCTTTGTCTGTCTATCCTAGCTGTATCTATCGTTTCTTCTAGTTGACCTCTTGATCGCCTAAGTTGATCTTGTTCATCTGTTGAACGAGGTCTGGCGTCTTGCGGCAGATGAGCGGCCAAATTTGAGCCTCGGATTTGCCTTTCGACGCGCCCTCGCTGCAATGTCTCTCGCGATGCCGGCTTCACATCTTGTCGTTCTCGTTGAGACGCTTGTAATCTTTCACGGTTTGCTTCCTTCTCGAGCCGCTCCCTCTCCATCCTTGCGCCTTCTAGTCTTGCTCTTGCCAGCTGCTCCTCTAAGTGTGCCTCTAAAGCTTCTTGCAGTGCTTCCAAGTCTGCTTGTGATATCGGTGTGGACTGTGGCTCACGCTCGACGTAGTTTTGCTCGTAGCTGTCTGGAGCTGTGGACCTTCCAGGGACTGCATTGTCTATCGCTGCTGGCCTCTGCTGATTGCGGCTTGATATCGTCGTTGCTGCCGCACTGTGAGACAAAGAAGAAGCATGGCTCCTTGGTAGCTCGATAGATCGCAAGTGCTGGGCTAATTGCTCTTGCAGTAGTGCCTTTCGAAGCATATCTTGTTCCTCTGTCCTGTCTTGTGAAGAGATGATGTACGTGTTGGGCGATGTCCGGTATTCGCTTCGTCCTCTTCCGGTTGTTCCTCCTTCAAAGGAGCTCGACGTGGAGTGATACTGGAAATCCTGGGAGCGTCTGCTGGTCTGTGAGGGAGCAAGCGCGCTGAAGCTGACTTGCACTTGGCAGAGCACTCCGCCGAGTACAAAAAAGAGAGCTGGAAGAACTCTGAGCTTCACGCTCCGGCAGCAGCAAGATATCCTTATCACACGTCGCGCCATCTTTGGAAAATTCGAAGGTGGCGAAGAGAATGTGGCTTTCTGACGGCTCCTACAATTACAGGCTGTAAGCGTCCCAAAACAAGTGGACCTTCGAAGTAGTTGTAATGTGTAAGGTCGGTCAAGCCAGGGGCAACAGCCGCTGGAGAAACAGTGATCACGTTTATGTCAAAACACTTTTGCTTACTGAAATACAGCTTAGACATCTAATAAACGATTTGGCGGAGCCTGGCCCTGTGAGACTGGTGAGAGAAAAACAAGCTAACGGTTGCTCACCCACAATCGCATAGGTGCCATAAATTAAAGTGAAGCAGCTGGCCATCACCGTCTTCTAGCAAAACAAGCAAACTTTATTTCGAAACACTATTAGGAGAATGGATATCTGTCATACTGTGAGACAGAAAAACGAAGCCCGCTAGGGCTTGCTCGCCGGGCAAGGCTTACCCGCCAACGCGGCGTGTCGGTAAGATCTCTCTGTGACGCGTGCCGGCATGGCTTGTCCCAGCCGTCTGTTTGATGAAATATCTATTTTTACTGTTAAAATAACGATCTTACACTTTCTTGCACAACATTTTTTGCGGTTCTTCACTGAAGTTCATTCTACGCCATTGCTTTCTCACTGAAGAGACCCGCTGCTCATGTCTGCACCTCCACTCACTGGCTAGCTCCTCAAAAGGCTCCAAGAAACAAACCTGCAGTCATCTCTAGTACAATTGCCTTCCAATTGTACATTTTAGCAACCAATAGTATTCTTACTGTCACGTATTTACCAGTAGCGGGGCGAGTTTCACGGGATTCCGTGAGCAAGCTGATGAGTCTCCTGGTGACCCACATAGACTAGACGGCGCGCAACTGCTGGCCGATGCTGCTCTACCTTATTCAGTTTCGGCTTGCTCATTAAGCTCGTGAGACAGATAAGCTCTAAAGCAACTTCAACCATTCTCCTCTCCGTGGGGATCGTGCCCACAATGGGGTAGGGAGTCTCGCCACTCTCCCGCGATTCATTGCCAACCGAAGAACGTAGCGGTCTTGGCATCTTACGTAGCTGCTCACGATCAACCGAATCCGACCCCCCAAGGGCCCACTGCTCCACAGCTACAGTGTAAAGCCTGTTGATCCCTAGCTAAGCCTCGTGAAGGGAGCAGTCCCACCCGGCAAATACTGAATTCACTGCTAGGCGTGCACTTCGTTGCTTTATTAGAGGCGTGAATACAAAATGCAGGCCCTTCTCACTTCACCTAACGTCAAACTACTGGTCGACAGCCTTAAGTCCGTTGCGCGTCAAAGGGCAATCAAGTACGCAGCCACACAGCCACGGAGGTATCGTGCTAAACGAAAAGCCCACCCCGAGCAGTTCCCGGGAAGTGTGCCAACGAAGCGGATGTAGCAAGCTTGGTCTGTAGCCCTAGAAATGGCAGTAAAGCCGGCGCCTGACAAACGATACTACGCATCTGCGGCTAGCGCAGTTTAACAGGCAACTACTTCGAGCTAGGAGGCCTAACCCAGCAACTTCGCATCCGTCGCGTTGCACGCAAGCCGAACCTGCAAGCCTAAGTGCTACTCTTGGGTGGGTCAGCACCGCAAGTTGCATGACACCCCTCATGTCCCTCTTTTCCGTTGCAGCTCCCTATCTTCTCAGCTCCAAACTGAATTTCTTTACGGCAAACTTCCGTGCAGCACTGTGGACCGCACAGGTGTACTTACGACATCCCTGCTGCTGCAAAATTGGGTTTCGTATGCACAGATATCTTGCGCCATCCGATACTTCGGGATGATTGGCTGAGGTCCCTGTGGGCAAAGAACTCAAACGCGAGCTCTTTTCGGATCCGGCTCCCCCTCTTCCGCCTCCTCATCCTCAGCGTTCTCTAATTCATCATCGTCGACATCTTCAGTGCCCTGAGCCTCGACATCGTCCTCTACCTCCTCGTCCTCATCCGGGTCAACCTCCTCCACTTCATCATCCGGGTCAGTGCCTTCTTCTGACTCTTCCTGTTCAAGATTGTCTGCTTCTCCTTCTCCCTGCTGCTGCTGGCGAGCTCGTTTCTGCCCAAGCTGTTGCGGCTCCTCCTCCTCTACAGAGGCGACATCGCCGTCGTCGAGGCTCTCATCCTCATCATCACTCAACACCTCTTCATCCTCGTCTTCATCTTCCTCCTCTACGCCCTCTTCAGCCTGAGGTGGCAACTGTTCAACCGGCCCGGTTTCTTGCTCTTCTTCAGAACCCTCTTCCTCCCCCTCCTCATCGTACACTTCGCTTGCTGCGAACAGCAATCAAGCACGTGTCGCGACACAACTGGCCCCCGATGCGGCAGAAAATCATTAATTGCTCATCTTCTAGAAGCAGAACAAAGAAAGTGGACGCCAAATGCGCCAACTGCGTCAACCGCAACCTATCAACGGAGGGAACGGGGTGGTCAAGGCGTCAAGACGTCAAGGCAACAGCCGAGTTAGAACAGTCTCTTCCAGCAGGGCTAAGTATACTGAAATGCAATTTCTCCACCTTCCCCTGGATTTGACACCAGTATTAAGAGCCCTGTCGGCTATGAGATTGCTAAACAGAACTTACCGCTGTCAACTTGCTCCTCTGCATCCTTGGCTGCAGGGATTCCTGGACGTGTTTTCGTGGACATCTTCAAAACGTGAGTGCGCTGTTCAGTCCTGTTGTGGATATCCTGAGGCCCTCCGAACTAGACTTTTACTGCAGCGGCGGCAGCAGCAGTTTGCAGCCAAGGCCTGTCCGCCGCTGCGCCCCGCAAACAAGTGGCGTCCGGCTAGTCTTTTCGGAAAGCACTCCCGGGGTCGAAAGGTCGTGTAGGGCTCGCTTGTTTTGGCACTTGCAGCAACAGTTGCCCAGGCGTTGAGTCCCTCGCTCCGCAGCTAAGAACGAGAGACGCAGGGCCGTTCAAGCCCACAATGCTGACAGGCCGCTGCAGCACCGCCGCCAGAGCCTACAAAGAGAAGTCGGGGCACAGCTCGGCTCAATTTAACTAACAAGCACTCTAGCTTCAGAAGAGGCGCATGTCTTGTAGAGAAACAGAGCACAAGCGGGCTGGGAGCTGATGCCCTTATGAAAACAGGGGAAACAGGAGGCGGTCGCCACAGACGACAGGGTTTGACAGGGGGAATTCAACCGTAATGTTCCGAAAACGAAAATCAAACGAACGATCCCATTTATTTTTGTTCGATTGAACAAATTGAACCCCTCAAGGAGCCCAAAGCCGCCGTTGGGAGCATGCGCCAGAGCTACGTCGCAGCAGCCTCAAGAACGTCTATCTGCGCACCCCTGCAAGCCAGCGGCCCCTCCCAAAGGTGTATTTAGAATCAATCTACTGCGAATTTTTTAAAGGAGAGGCAGGCTAGCTCTCCAGTGAGTGTCTCTAAGCGACGTGTGTTGCAAGGGAGCATCTCAGCATGCTACGCAGCGCCGATGCGGCGGAGCCTGCGCATTGCCAAATGTGAAGGCAGGCACTAATCTGTAGTGCAGTTCTTCCCACAGACGCCACTACCATCGAAGTGGGCTTTTTCTCTGCGTCTACCCTGGCGGAGCCGTACCTTTTTGTGTCCCCTGAGGCTCCCCCACTGGGCTCCAGGTCGTCAGCGTGGAACAGTTGAGGTGTGTACAAGCCCCCAAGCGGCTGGCTCTGATATACCCTTTAATAATACTCATTTGGCTACGCTATCCCAGTATATGTGTGGGCGTGGATAAGCAAACAGCCACGAGAAGCTTACTACAATTGAATCGATCAGCCCATGTTGCAATTCGGAAACGGAGCACCGCGGTACGTGACTCTGTCACATTATGGCTACAGGGGAGACTAAGTGCGTACCACGACCTGTAGTACTTGTCTTGTAGACGGCGTAGACAAGGGTGGGTGTCAACGCGTCATTCTGTGGGGCGTGTTGTGAGTGCGGCAATTTTTACGGAGCTGGACTTCGGAAAATTTCGCACGTGCTTTAGTAATTGTTCCGAATGTAGCAGCGTTTCAGTACAACCAGTTGAGGCCATTCTTCTTCTATAGAGGACCCCTTGTCTTTCGAATGCTCCATGCTGAAACTGCACCGAGTTCCCAAACGTTGTCATCGTCCTACCTAATCCTTCTGCAGCTCCAGAGCAGCAGTGGAATCAGTAGAGGTCTGTAGTGCTTTTTCTGGCATTCACGACTCCCGAACAACCGCTACGTTTCATGGAGCATTTTTAGATCTACGGATCAATCCACGGCGGGTGGTATTAAGGCATCTAGGCCTTTTTAGCCCATGAATTCGGCCTCTTGGCGCAGGTGAGGGATTGATAGTGTTCAAGGCCAATGGCATTTAGAGATTCTCTTACACACAATAAGTGCATGCTGCTTTACTTACCAGAAATATATGGAGAAGTCGGAGGTGAGACAGGCTTATGCTTATTAGTGTATATATATCATTGAACTGGCGTGAGTCGAGACCCCGCAGTGCGTACCCTTGAGTTTCTTGCATGCACAGTTAATTTTTTAAGACCTTGACGTTCCCCCTTAGGACAAGTGGGGTATCATTCCTTTGGAATGGTGGCCTTCCAGTGAGCAGGGAGCTGGCGATAAAGCATGTGCACAATGCGTACCAGTAATGGCCACGGGCCAAGGTGCACTTCTGGGTTGTTGCGCGAAATACGCGCAAAAAGGTTCAACTACCAACTGGAGGATTCACGCCTGCTGGTGCATCACTAGGTGTGGTACGGTTTCCATTACGAGAGAGGTTCAGTGTTCAGCTCCACTGCCAGAAGATGCCATTGTACGGGCTCCATCTATTTTATTCAGCCGTTCCATTCCGGTTTTCCGAGTTTTCTGCTCACATCAACTGCCACTTGGAGGTAATCTATTGCATGGAGATGCTGGATGACAGCTACAATTCACATGCATTGAATAGTAACTCAAGGCAATGTCGCTCTGAATTCTTTATGCAGCGAAGGTCTCAGTTCTGGGCAGAAGACGTGGAACGTGTGCAAGAAGGGCCCGGCCGCATCTTTGATATTACGCCCTTCTAGGGCTAGGGTATTACGCCTGCGAGGGCCTACCGTTCACAATTATTTTGCTGGAGGGCGCAATATCCCCAACGTGATGTTGTGCACTGCGGGGGGCTCATTCTTGCGGCCTGCAGTACGTGTGGACCGTGCAACAGTGAAAGATAAAAAGATAGTCTTGCAAGTTCACTGTGGTAGGCATTCAATGCGTAGTGCAGGACTTCAGTGGCCTCCCAAACTCACGTCTTAACGAAGGGGCAACCCTGGTGATGACCTGTCTCCACTATTTCCGTTGCTAGTGAAGTTCTGTTCTGACCGTGGTCACTTTTGTTCCCTTTGGCGCCCTCGGAAACGTAACAACTTGGCTTAGTTCCTTTGAGGTTGTCAGCACCAGACGTCGGGATCAGCTGAAGCTGCGGCTTTTGCAAGACAGCCAAAAGGGCAGCCTAAACCCAGCCAACGCTGGAATACAGCACCATGGTTTCCTCCCGTCCCTGCAGTCCCACTGTCAGTCACTCCTTTTGCATGCCGCCTGCCTTCCGCGTGGAATAAGCCAACTGCTTTTGCGCTCGTTCTAGATGCAACCATAAGCTGTCTAGGACCGCTCCACTCTACGGTCCGTTTTTTTACTCTCTGGCCCGACTTGATGCTCATCCTCATCATGCTTTCTGAATCGTCCTAAACTAGTGTCTGTAGACTAAGATGGCGTCCGCTGCGACTTTCTTACAAGTCAGATACTCAGATGGGGCTGCAAGCCCATAGAAGCAGTGAAGGCCTCCGCTAAAGCAATTCTAAATTCTACAACTACAAGCAAACACTGAATTATAAAAAAAGCCTGTATATGTACTTCCTGAATTCGGGAAAGTTGACGCAGGTCAGGTCAGCTTTCAAGCATTAAGAGCGACGCGAAGTGCCTTTACTCGTGACTTGTCTACCACGTTTTCGATTGTGCTTATGTGCTATCATCTCGTGTTCACGATAAGCTTTTGTATAGCCTCGAAATGTTTGTAGTTGAAGCCGTTTTGAACAGCGGAAAGTATAGCTGTGGGTGGGCTACTGATCGTTGAGGTCACTTGGGGTCAGTTTCTTTGGCGTGCTCGCTGCAGCGGCACCATTAACGCAGCTCCCTTATCTCCCAATTGGGAACGCAGCTCGAAACATAGACATTATCTGTAAAACCAATTAAGGTAGAGCATGGTGAATGCTGTGACGAGGTGGGCTCACTGCCTGTCCACTTCCTGTGTTCCTACTGATTCACATGGAAGGAACACAGTAGTGATGGCCAGGGCCGCAGCTCTAAACCGGCCCTATTTTTTGATGTGGGGTTGTGGAGGCCCACAACCCCTAGCAGCATGAAAGCAGCATTAAACCATAGAGGCGACCCTGCCGCTCTGACACGCTTGGCACGCCCAGAAAGCCATAGTTCAAAGAAGGGTTCCACGCAAGCAGGCAAAGTCCCTGCCCGTATTTCCGCGAGGGCAGCCAGGGACTCGTCCTCTGTGCTTAGTGGCCAGGTCCCCAGAGAGCCTTGGGATCTAGAGTTGTCGCCCCCTCAGCTTGTGTTCAAGGAGGTGATTCCTTTCTCCCGCCGATGTGCCCCCTTACTGATTCTCAACAAAGGAAAAAGGCCTCATCCAGTTCGAGTACTGAATAAAGAGGACGGGGGTCTATGCATAGGCACAGGCACTGAGCTCAGGCCTGATCCTGTTTTGTGTCCTTTGCTAGCTCCAGGACTGTCCCTTCGTGTGCATGTAGAGGCTCCGCCTGTTGTGGGACCTTTTAGCAGAACTTCACTAAGGGTTCTTGGGGCTGGTCAGCAGGTGGAGGTTCCAGTGGAGGCTCGAGCTCCTGTGGTTCGGTTCAGGTGCCCTCCCCAATTGCGGTTCCCAGTTTGTTTACCAGGGCAGCTGCAGCAACAGCTATTCCCCGTAGCAAACACGAGCGCGTATGCCATAAAAGCGCAAGTCAGCATAGGCCGAGACGTCAGTGCTCCCCTTAGAAATTTGCTTGAGCAGCAACTCGTGTGCCTCAGTATTTATCCTCAGAAGCTGAAAATAGAGCCGGAATCTGTTGGCATTTTCACGGCTGAGCTGCGCTTGGACTGCCCAGCAGAGGTGACCTTACCCCTCACAGTAGTTTGTAAAAAGTCGTTAAAGACACCTGTATCTCCCCGATGCAGTCTTGTGGCAACGACAGGCTTGGCCGACAGCCAGCCTCCGACACGCGTCGTCCAGGGCTCAAGGCGGCCGCCAGCTTTGGCGGGTACGGTGCAATGGTCGGGTACCGAGCCTTGTGTCGAGGGTCACCTCCAGCTGCACGCCTCGTGCGTCGCACCGCGCTGGTCGTTCTCAATTGACGGTCGAGAGCTGAAGATTCTGGACTTAGGGGCGCTCTTCCAGGGTCAAGAGCGCTGTGTCACTTTGCACGCAGACAATCTTTCAGCCCTTCCTCTGGCAATGTGTTTTGCCGCCCCGCAGTCAACATTCAAATTTCCCACGGAGAAAATTAAAGCGGAGCCTAGGAACAATGAAGCATTCCAGCAAAAAGAACAGGGCGTTCAGGGATCTGATGGTGTGCCTTCTCAGGAGAGACTAGAAGCTCAATTGCCCAAGGAGGCAAACTCAGAAACTGCAAGCCCCCTTTCTTACCAGATTGTCGCAGAGCAGCGCTTTGTAGAGCGCAGCACAAGCTGCAGTCCTGCAGAAGCTCTGAGACGCTTCCCTGACGCATCTGCCACTCCACGTCTGCGTCGCACTGTGGGGAACTCACCCAGTAGCAGCATCTATGCCAAATCCGCAACAATCAGCTGCAACATGGCTCCCCAGCAGCAGTCTTCGCAAGCAGGCATATACACAGTCGTTAAAGTGGCTGACAGGTCGGAGCTGGCAGAGGGCTCCCATGATGGTGGAGCCATTGCAAGTCCTCGTACAGCTGGACCCCTCTCGGACGATTCCGACTTATCCGAATCTTCAAGGAGCACAGAATGCAGAGATACCCCATGGGCTGCCCTTATCGAAACGTTTGCTTCGCCGAAAACTGAGGTGCAGAGTAGTCTCGAAAAAGCTAATGTCGAGGACCTCCCGAAGCCACTAGACGACCCGACAGCACCTCGAGGTGCAACGCATCGAAGAGTGGGGCGGCCTCGCCAAAGACAGCAACAGCAAGTACCCAACGGGACCAAAAAAGAGCCTCATGAACGCCCAAGAGAAGATACGTCTTATCCTTCAGTTCAAAAGGAAGATCCAAATCCTGGTGACGCGGAGCAATTCCCATGCCTCCCACCGAAAGGGCCCCAGCTCAAGCGGCGGCGCTGGATTTCTCCGCCCATTGTTTCCAGCCCAAGAGGTGAGCCAGCTATGGCGGCAGCAATCGCTAAGGAAGGAGGCCACGGACCTGTAAGAGAGCCCCTGCCTCAAGCAAATAATGAACAGGAACAGCCCACACAAGGATCCCTTTCACAGTGTTCCTCTCAAATGGCTATACAGCGCCGATACTCTTACGAGCCCACGACTTTACTCCAAAGTCTTGTGCTGCTGGATGACTTGTTGCACCTGTACGACATCGAGGTAACCCCATCCATGCTGCTGCTGCCTCCTCGGTCCTCCGCAGCAATACGCCTGACACTACGGACTCAGCCCTGTGAGATTCGTCGCGGGTTTCAGCACATGCAAAATTGGCGCAACTTGCAGGTGCCCTTGGCCTTCCAGCTACACGTGATGGTGGCCGTTGCTGGCCAATGCCCCACGCGGAGCGGCGAGGAAGAGCTCGTCTGCACCGGGACTCCAATGACAGCGACACGGCATCTTCGAACTACTAGCAGATGCAACAATAGCTGGCTCTCCTCACATTTAAAGTCTACGCGTACGGCATTCCCGGGAGCGAGGGGAGCTGTCAGCGAGCCCACCAGCCAAGTAAATTCCTGCATGTCTCTTCCAGCTCCAAAAGGAAGGCCCATCGTGGCGCGCCTGCGCCCAGAGACAGCTGGGACACACCTCACTAGCGACAAATCCTGCAGAGGTGGGATCAGGGGAGGGGACCAGAGCGATTCTTCGGACCCGCGAGAAAAATCTTTATGTGTCCTTTTGTACGATATGCTTCAAGCATTTATTGCAGAGAAAGGGGAACAGCAGAGTGACCAAAGGCTGCTCTCATTGCCCCATCATTGTCCAGTACCCGTACCACGCACCTCCGCTAAAAGTTCATGCTGTACAACGTTGCAAGATGTGGCAGTGCCGTCGACGCAGGCCTCGCCATGCTTGCCACCACTAGACGTTGTGAGAAATTCTGCAGGCAGCAAATATAAGCAGTCGTGCTGCAGTGGCTCAGGAGACTCGTACTGTGTTTCTAGCGAGGGGATTTCTTTACAAGAGAGGCAGAGAGTCACTCACCAGTTTTTTCAGGGTTGCTGCGTGTTGAGCTTGCCACGTCTGGAATTGTCGCCTACTGAGCTACACTTTGCTGGCTGCCCTGTGGGGGAGTGCCAGCAGCAGGCGCTGTATTTGTACAACTGCAGCGCCGAACTTAGCTTGGACTTCTGCTTTGACGCTCGCCACCCCTTCCGTTGTATGCCCTCCCAGGGAAAGGTGCCACCCCAGCAGCAAGTACAGGTACAGGTTATCTTTGCTCCGACGCGAATGGGCCCAGTAAGGCAAAAGCTAAATGTTTTCTTCTGCAACAGGTCGTACAGCAGAGCTGTGTGGATTGTAGGGACAGGCCTTATCACCTCGAGACTCCCACTAAGAGGCAGCCACCACTGGCAGGGGAACATAAAGGCAGAACAGCGACCACTTTCTGCAAGGCCAGAGAGCTGCAGAAAAGGCAATGGAAGCAATACAGTGTTTGCGCTCACAGAAATGACGTCATAGCGGGCGCCCTCATTGCTACTTTGGCTCTTACTCAGATGGAGGGATGTCACGTGGACAATCCCGAATCCGAGGGCTCTTTTGGATTCCCCAGAACGCAGCGTGTAGAACTTTGGAGAAACACTATATAGAGGAAACGGGGGTTGCGCGTGCTCCCGAATAGGCACAACTCCTGTTATGAAGGGTTCAGGCGCGGCAGATGCGCTGCATTGAAATTCCCAGGCAGTTTCTTGCTTGGGTTTGCGCTGCTGCTTCCCGAGAGGCTGTACATTGGAATGTACGGACACTCGGCATTTTTCTCACAATGCTTTGAGCCCCCTAGATTGTTCGCCAAAGGCTTACCTTCATTGTGGAGGTCTTGCGCACTATAGCCACAGCTTGGGAGAACAGAAGCATCGTGCTTGGGAATCCACTACTTCTAAGTAGATGTGAAGCAACCTTCATATCGACTACAAAGGCTTTCCTAGTTTTCCGTTGCCCAGCTGTATTTTGAACCAGCTCTTCTTCCTGTCCTCTATTGGTCCTGCAGTAATCTACGTAATGTGCATCTGCAAAACAAATCTAAACGAATAGTCTCAACTTTCTGTTTGTAGGCCCAAACCAAGTGTATTCTGAGATAGTAGCAGACAAGCCCGAACTAGATGACATCCGACAATCGCTGCTAACGTGCGCATACAAAAGGGTGCGAGGATGCTGATAGCGGAGGCTGCCGGTTCTTTGCAGCACACAAAGCTTGTTGTACTGGTAGCTGGGACTGTCTTTTGGGCTCCAATGCGCTGTTTTTGGGTCTCAACACAACTGAACAACTTATTTTAGTGTGGATGCGTCTCGTAAGGCTGGCAGCGAAATAAGCCGCCAAAACGCCTCACTGCGGCGGCACCGCCGTCGTGCAGCAGGCACGGAACGGAGAGGGGCACGGGGTAAGGGGCTCCTCGACTGCAGTCGGGCAAGAGCTATAAGTGGGCACCTGCGCTGTGGGCGCATCACGTGACAACCCATAAAGAAACTCTCGCTGCGGTGTCTCAAGAACTGCCGTCGATGACAGTTGTTCAATCGGAGCAACCCGCGTGGAGGCTGGATGCTGCTGTTGCAGTCCTTGCGCCACCGAAGTGACAGGGGGCTCAGTTACTGCAGAGCCAGAGAGAAATGCTGATCGGGTCTCTGCTTGCTGCAGTCCCTGAACTAGCGCAACCAGTTCTGCAGCAACAGCGGAACCAGCAGCACCAGCTCGAAGGCCTTGAACGCCGATATGTGTCAGGGTCCAGCACCACTGGAATCCAGATACGCAGAAGCAGCGAAGCTGAGAAATCACTCACCTGCCTCCTGCGCAGCGTAGTCCGTTAAGTCTGAAACCTTTGAGCTCATGGGAAAATTGTTGCTGTTTCGATCGGTGCTGTTGCGATACCCGTTGTGACTTAAAATTACGGAAGGTTGAACGAGTCTCGTCTTCGGAAACGCCTTGGGGCTGCTATCTGCGCTACTGCGACTGACACTGGGGGGCAAATCGCCAGAGGAACCAAAATGCATACCCAAATCATACGGGTCGGCAGATTGGAGGCACGCCTCAGTCACAAGCCCGTAGCCAAGGCGGGGTCTGTACGGGCTGAGATGAAGCAGCGTTGGATGAGGCTCAGCGGAGGACACCAGCAAGCTTTCCCCCTCTTCGCTATTCTCCTGACCCTCCTGTGGACGAAGCGTCTCAAGAAACCCATAGTTCTCCGCTACCACGGAGCTAGCAGCAGCAGCTGCTGATGCTGCTGCTGCTGTTGCGCTGCCAGGCCCAAATGCTGGCGGCAAATATATATAAGGTTTGCCAAAGGCAGCCGTGTCAGCACTTAACGACCGTCCCTGCTGACTGCCAATCAAATCCGAAGACACGTCCAGCAGCTGCTGGAGCCTCGCGGATGCTGCTGCGGCTGCTACTGCTGATACGCGGCTAGGCGCGTCCACGTCGAAGGCGTTGCTGCTGCTGACAGCCGAACGTTCTGTTGTTGATGCTGCCGCTGCTGCGCTGCATGCAGCAAGTGCAGCAGCGTGTGAACGCAGAGCGGAAAAGCCCAATGCTTGGCACTTCAGCAGGTGCACTTGCAGCCACGTGCCTAGCTGCAGCAGCATCTGCACTCTTAAGAAGGATCTGCATCAGAAACAGAAAAGGCACACTCGGCTCACAACATAAAAAGTGGCGAACTTCCAAGGACAGAAAAGAACACAAAACAAAGCCGAAACCAGCGTTTCTTTAGCTCCTGGCTGAGTGTTGAGCCTGTAACGACACTATTTGCAATTGCGATGTCCGGTGTGTTGGCTGCCCATTCTTAGAGAGCTTAACGTATCAATCTAGCAAAACGTCAATGCTTTCTACATACAGAATATTCCTTACCGCATCGTCCGCCCTGTTACCTGCATCTGCTGGAATTTTAGAAATGCGCCACGGAGCTGTCGAAACCTACAGCAAGAGCAGCAGCAGTATAATTGCAATATAAGGAAAAACCACTAACCAGCTGAAAGCTGCTTTCTCTCTTCCCTTATTTGCACTCAGACCCCCTGGGGGCGCCTGCCCATGAAGTGGGAGAAGTCAGCCGTGCAAAGGCACGAGCACATGTAAGCAATGGCTGCTGTCGTCAGAGGGATGCTAACTATTATGACCCAACTAAGTTCCGACTACAGGCATGCCGCCTCTGCTAAGCTAGCTAATACCATTCATGACAGGACGCAACACTGGTGACATACTGGACCCTCTCAAACACAAACGCTACTCTCCGCAAAGCCGTTTGCCGTAAGTCCTGCGGAGGTGGGCGCTGTAAACAGAGCCACCCACAGCGCAGTCGCTGCAGCTGCTGTTCCTTCAGCAGCAGGCCCAGTAGCCACGCCGCTCTCATCTGCAACATACACAGCGCACAGCAGCAGCTGAGGCAGCAGCACCAGCTTGGGGAACTCAGGCACATGCATGCTAAATCAAGACACATAAGTATTGGTGAATTACTGTGCAACTCTCTGCCACAAAACCTAAGCGCTAACCTTCTGTCTGCACATCTCGCGATGGTCGTGGACGTGATTTTTGAGGCTGCTTAGTGCCGCCTGGAGTAACTTTTGCCGCTTCATCTCCAGTAGAATCATCAGCAAGACCACGGCGCGAACTCGTTGCTTTCCGTCCTTAATCGCCTTCCTCCAGCTACGGAAAGCCCACAAGAGTCGCTGCTGCAGTGACTGCTGCAGTGAAGCCACAAGAAGCATGACGGAACGCTGCCGAGGCACTTGGCGCATGGAAACCAGAAGCCTCTCGTTCACCTGCAGACAGGGAAAGGCGCGAGCCAACCAAGGATAAACTTAAACAGCTACGGGTCTCACTAGCTGAAGGAACCCCGCATGTAGCATGTGTGCCTGAGGGGCTGGGCCACCAGCTGCCAGCGAAGCTGGCCTTTGGTTAGTGTGACTTTGCGCATGAGCTAGCTAGCTGGTCATCCTGCTCCTCAATCTGTGCTCCTTGTCCCCCATAATGCCGCGGGATATGTGTTGGACGCTAGATGAGGCAATTGCTCACTTGCTGAATGTTGCTGCAAATTCTCAGTTTCTCCTCCATATTTGCTGCTGCGGCGTTGCGTTGCAACAGCCGCAGCACACTGCGCATGCGAGCCTTTATACAAATGAAGACAAGAAAAAGAGCTCTTTGGCTCCCAGCTACGCAAGCTTGCCTTTGAACTAACATGTTCCACATCAGCCGTTGCCAGCTCCACCTGAGCCGCCTTAAGCGCATCTGCTGCATAAGCTGCTGCAGTGCATCTTGCTGCTGTTGACGCATCAGCCTTGCCCCCCGCATTTTGCTGAAAGCTTCACCAAGCAGCCTGTGCTGCAGCCTCTGAATGGTGCAACAAAGCCTCACAGCCCGTCCCTTCTGCGTCTGTTGCTCTGCTGCCGTAAGCGTGCTAAGGAGGCGAAGCTTTGTAAAAGCTGCATGAAGCCGTTTTTCCACAGGTCGTTGTAAGGCGTACTTAAGCTGTTGATGCGCCACTTGCAATCGCTGCGTGGCTAGCTGGAGGTGGCCTGACGCCATGGTGGCAACGAAAGCCGCCGCCTGCTGCTGCTGCTGTCGCAAGAGTGCATGCAGCCTCAGACCCTGCACTGCCCACGCCTCTTCTTGCCTGCTGCGTAGTCGCATCCACTGCTGCAAGAGCAGTACTCCTCGCGATACCTGCGTGGCCCGGAGCTGTGCTGCTGCAGCGCTTGCTGCTGCTAGTGCCCGCAATCGCCCAAGGAATTCGCGAGCCCAGCGACGCGAGGCCTCCTTCACGAGTGCTGCTAGCTGCGCTAGCAACAGCCCGCGGGTTGCTGCGTGCAGCTGCTTTTGCAGCAGCAGTAGCTGCTGCTGGCAAGGGGGACGGTAAAGAAAATCCGGAACTGAAGGGCGTGACCTGAACAACAACAAGGTCATATTACCTTTGTTCACTACTTTGGATTCGTAAAAGCACGAACAAAGCTCGAAGCAGGCGAAACTCTGGGCGAAATCAAAGTCGTCTGTGCCACCACATAAGCAGAATTCCTTGCTTTTGCAACTGCATTTGATGCTCTTGCTACTATGTCTGTAGTGGAGCTGCACACGATGCTACGTAGTCAACTGGTGCTGCTGCAGCAAGCATGTGTTAACACAGTAGCAGCTGCAGCTGGGGGAAATATCTTGCCTCCATTTGTCCGCTAGGTACAATATGTGCTTAAGGAGGGCGTCGCGCTCAGTCGGGCTCTGCATGCCAAACAGGATGGTCTTTGCCGCCTTATGTTTTCTCGCTGCCCCCTGCTCCTGCTGCCTGTTTACTGCTGCCGCTGCTGCTGCTGACGCCACAATCTTCATGCGGTAGGGGGCTTTTCCTTTTGCTGCTGCCGCAGCAGACACCTTCCCTCTCCCATCCACAGCCCACGCCGACGCGATGGATGCGAGGGGTATCAACAGAGACACCTCAAGCGGCTCTGTGCTGCTGCAAAAGAGCAGGAGGTTCTGATGCAGCAGCAGATCTTCCTCAAGCCAGCGCGGCGGCAGGAGACCCCTAAACCTCCACACATGCGCCTGTGGAACACACAAGGTGCACAGGAAGTCACAAGATGAGCACGATCATGCTTTTGCTTCTAGTCTCGTTCCTGCTGCTGCTGCTCATGTTGCAAGTGGTGTCGATGTTCCTCCTGCCGTCGCTAGTGCTGCTTTAGGAATACAAGGCGTGAGGCTGCTGCGTTTGTTTTCGACGCAGTTGTGTTCCACAATCTGCAAGCGTGAACAGACAGTGCAACTAAAGGCGCGCAAAAGGCGGGTGCAGCAGCAGTAGCAGCAGCGCGAGCAGATCTACACCAGCAGAAGCGTAAGAAGCCTTGTGCTGAGTGGTTGAGCTGACAGACCTTAAGAGTTGTTTGGCTGGGAGATGGGAGAGCGAGAAGATCTCCGAGGTTTCGCGCTTCGAGAAACGCGTAAGATGGAGATGAAATGGCGGGCAGCATTTCAGCCAGCGTCCGCGTTTGCTGCTGCTTCTGCTGCTGCGGCTGCATGACTTGCAGCATGCTTTCACCGAGAGAGCCCCTTCGAGAAGAAACAAAAACCGTGCCGCCTCCAGGAACACCTGGCCTCTCCCTATCTACATGATGTGCTGGATTCGCTGGCTGCTTCGCTAGCTCGATGCTCCGCAGAGTCCTCGGAGAAGGTGGAAGCTGCAGCCCCAGATCATCTGGCTCAGACTCATCCACAGAGTCTAGGCGAGCTCGAGCCCCAGCAGCAACAGAGGAAGTGAAGATAGGCCGCACAGCGCCGTGGGCAGCAACGGGCTCGAACTGAAGCGAAGCAGCAGCTGCAGCTGCGGTTGCTGCTGCTGCCTGGGATGATGGATACACAGACGAGATACACGAAATACAAGTGCCACCAAACCCGCCAGCTGCTGCACGTAGCGCAGTGCAATCATATGCCTCACTATCGCTGGTGCTGCTGTCGCTGCACCTGCTGCTGCTTCTACCGCTGCTCGCGCTGCTGCTCCTATTGCTGCGCCTCCGCTGCCCTATTCGCTGTTCTCCGGCGCACCTCTCAACTGCAAGTGTCTCTGCAACAGCAGCGGACGCCGCCGCAGCAGCCGCTGCTGCTACAGCAACCGCATTCCTTGATGCTGCAGCTGCTGCACTTGCTGCAGCTGCTGCAGTCTTGCTGGTCTCGAGAAGCAGAGGGGCTTTGGTGCTAGCTCGCTGCAACAGTGAAGACAGTCCGTCAAAAGCTGAACTGCTGACTGAGATCAAAGACTGGCCTCCAGCCATTCCGCGTTCCCTGCGGGTCGCTGGGGACCTCCCGCCAACAGCAGCAACAGCGGGTGCTGCTGTTTCTGCCGTTGCTGTTGCTGCTGCTGCTGCTGCAGACCCAAAGGACGAAGCAGGAAGGGTCCTCGGCCTTGAAGGGATTACATGTCTCTCGCATGGCCCATCTGCTGCCAATCCAGGTGTACGTACAAAGCGCAAAGGGCTCGCTTCTCTGCTGTGTGGTGCGCCCTCAGCAGCTGCCACTGTTGACGCTGCTGCTGCTGCTGCTGCTGCACATGCTGTTCTCCCTTCGTGGTCACTACGCGGCTCCGAAATAGCAGCCGCAGGCTGTGCGCCCTCCGCTGCTGATGCTGCTGTGAGGCGAAGGGGCTGCGTTTGCTGCTGAGTCGCCATCACCGGCCAGCTGTGTTCCGAAGCAGCAGCTGCGGAAGCAGGCGAGATCCTCCGACACTTCAACTTGCTCCTGGTTCTGGTGCTGCTGCTGGTGCTGCTGCTGCTGCTGGTGCTGCTGGTGCTGCTTGTGCTGCAGGGGCTATGAGTGGCAGCTGGTGGTGCCACTCTATGACAGCACTCAGAATAACCTGTGGGGATTCGTGAAGAGCTGACCCAAGAACTGCAGCTCGAAGGACTTTGAGTTATGCTGTTAACGCAGCAACGGCGACTTGGGAAGCAACCTGAGCTGTCGCTCGGCCATCTGGGTGCTGCATCTGCATCAATTGCTGTTGCTGCTGCTGTTGCTGTTGCTGCTGAAGTTGCTGTTGTTGCTGCTACTGCGGCTGCCGCTGCTGTGTCTGTTTCTCCTAATCGTGTTTCTGTTCTTGCTGCCGCTGCTGTTGCTGCTGCTGATGCCGCTGCAGTAGGTAGCCTCAGCAAGGCGTTTGACCCCACCCCATTCCCAATGGCTTGTTCCTGCTGCTGAGGAGTGTGTTCCTGGTGAATGCGTTTTTGCTTCTCTTGTGTGCTCAAAACGGGAGGATCGAAGAGAATAAGCGTTTCAGCAGTCCTGCAGTGCCTTGAAGGAACTTGATGCACGGCGCAAGGGCTGCTGCCGCTAGTATTGCTGCTGCCGCCGGCATTAGTGCTTCTACTTCTGTAGCTGCTTCCTTCTCTCCGTGAAATCCATGATACATGTAGATTTTCGTCTGGGTCTCTAGGCCCCACTGCTGCCAGGACGCCCGTGAGCCCGCTGCCGACGGCTGCGAAAGTTTCGCTTTCGAGGGCGTCAAGGCCAGAGGAGCCCTGGGACACCAAGTGGGCCTCAATGTGTCCCGAAAGATGAGCTCTTTGGGCCATTTTCCAGGCTCGAGGGCTTCATAGGGGCCCGTAGTGGTTATTCTGCTGCCGCAGCGAGAATCGATTGTTCCTCTGCTGATGGCGGAGGCTGCGGGTGGGGCCCCCGTACCCTTGGAACATCAAGTTATACGCTTTTTCATAAAGAAACTGAGTCAGGGGCCCCAAATAAACAGGCTGAAATCTCTACTGCACCGGAAGAGAGCAGCAAGCTGTCGGCTGCGTTTGGCTGGACCTTCTCACAGTTCGGCGGCTTGGCCGTTACCACTTTTTGCAGATATATCAGGATCTACTGATGAGCATATAAACAACATAAATGAATTTGACTAAAACTAAGAAGAGATGCATTTATCATTCCGCGTGAGATTGCGGACTTTCAGCCGCCCTTTTGTCACAAGGACAGCCGGGCTTGGGCTGCGTCTGAGATCTGTGGCGCGTTCTTGCAGGAGTGTACATCACGTTCCCTTGTATTTATTTTTGTTGAAACTTACGTAAATATCTGTTCAAATTCCAAAATCAAGGCTACCTAAAGCAGGACCGAGCGGTGATCTCGCCACTAGCATCTGGCACTGTGACTCCTCAGGTCTGCAGCCCCTCTACAAGTGCTTCAGCAGAGCAGGAACCCATTCATTTAAATGTATTTTCTCTTTTCAGTTCTAAAAGGCATGATCTAAGTCAGGCAGTGTAGATGCTCTCACTGTGTCCTTCAGTTGCTGCACCCCTCTGCAGTGCTTGAGCTTACTCTATCTGCATCGGCTATGTGCACTGGATGGTTTGCATAGCCCTCTGATTAGTTGACACAGCACTCAGATGAGTTTATATTTGATCAAATTGCATCTGTTTGAACCGAAATACCCGTAGGGCCAAGCACTTGCAGTGGTTAGTGCAGCTGCTCTGCACTACCCGTAGACCTTTCCATAGCGCTGATTTGCACTCAATGCAGCCTCTTCTTAGCGGATTCCATTTAGCCGCAGATCCTTAAATTAGGTCTGCAAGAGCACTAATCCTTTTGCGCTGCTAGTTTGCCTTCCAAGGTTCCAGCTGTCATTGTCCCTTGCACACTGTGAATTCCGGGCTTAGCCAAAACAACTACGCATGCACTTCCTTCTCCAAGTTTTCTCTTCAGGCATCCAGCCGAAGCATTCGGCTCTTGTGGACATAGTTCACCCCACGTAGCCCATATACCTCACATTTCGCCCGTAGATCTCTCTTGTAGCCTATAGATCTTTCTTCTACTCTATAGATCACACCTGTAGCCTATAGAAATCACCTATAACTTAAGTGTGCGACTTCTCATTGCTTGCTCGGTAGCGCCTAACTTCGGGAAGGGCCCGGAACGAGGAGTGTTTTCTTATCTGCAGGCTGCTGTACCTCCCTAGCTAGAGCGTGCTTTCTCTCTTCCCACAGCGCTTCCAGTTATTCATCCTGTCCGTGCGTATCCTCAACTTCACGATCATTCTTGTACATGAAAGTCTACGGACTCAGTTTCAGGCCTCCCCCGAGCCAGCCGCCGAGATCAGTCGCTTTAGCCGTATAGCTTGGTGTGATGTCCTTACTTACAGATTGAATAGTTGAGACGTTTTCACTCAT